GGGGGGGGCAAAAAATGCCTTTCGTGTGCCTTGGGACTGGAAAAGAGCCGAATGAAAGGCGCGTCAAACTTGCCTGGCGCCACCTGCGGCCCGCATACCGAGTCCGTGATCCCACCATGGTGTGCGTCTTGCCCGTTCCCATCGGCCCGTAACTGCAACGCATCCACCGAGAACAATGTTCAGCCCCTCTGGGAATATGCAATGTCTGGCCACAATTCGACACATCACCGAATTGGGGAGGAGTGTGCAATTTCCATTGATCATTCAAGTCCGAGTAGGCGTAATTATGGTGCATTTGAAGCCTTGGAGGACATCATCCAAGATGGGAGCCACAACTCTGTTGTAGACTTCAATCTGGGTGGCGCCAGGTGCAAACACCTGCGGGATGCCAACGACATCAACAAAAAGGGCACTCAGGTTCTGTCGGCAGAACGATGCTATGGAGGAGATTGCAAATCAACTGATCTCATCAAAGGTGTACGACTGAAGGGGCACCTGCGAATCATTTTCTCTCTTCACAACAATCTGCTTCAATTGCGTATTGAACTCAATTCTGTCTCTTCTCAACACGTTCGGCAGCACTAGTGATGGGTCCATGAGGTCGATACACTGTGTTGATACTGTGCCGCCGCTGACCACTTCCACCTCCTGGACCTTCAAAATCCCTGCAGCGAACCCACTTGACGGACTGATTTGATGATGAAGTGTATACAATATCATTCACATCCGTGCATTCATATTGTATCATTGTGTTTCAATCACGTGAATGAGGATGCTTGTCGGCTTTGTCTTCACACATTTTTGTGTCGAAAAATAAGATGCTCCAGTATTTTAAATTTCAGTCTGTTGCGTTTCTTTCCCCCGCTGTGGAGAACACACACACACACACACACAATGGAATAAGACGTGAAAAATCCGAGAGGCACTCGGTGAGACAAGGAGATTTGAATAAATACCTTCTTCTCCAAAAGGAGATCAAAATGGCTCTACACGGTGGGCAATTTGCGTTTGTCCGGAAGCTGCTCCATAATCTGCGCGCGCGTACTGTAGCAACGTCACTCGAGTGAAGCGCGTCTCGGCAGTCGAGTCGGATGCTCTCCGCTGTGAGCGCGAGCAACCCACGCCACATATTAAAGAGGCTTGAAACTACGACCACAGCTAAGCTAGCCGAACAACAGAACAACGTGCTTCCGCCGTCTTCGGATTGAACCGGAAATAAACAAAGGGGGCGGTCCGAGCGGGAAGTTGAATTATTTCCGGGTGACAGTCGCCTGCGCCATTTCCGCATGCTCGGCGTTGAAAAGAAGCGAATCGTCTCGCTGCTTTGGATTCGGGCTGAAAATGGTGAAGCTATCTGCGGAGCTGATCGAGCAGGCGGCTCAGTACACGAACCCGGTGAGGGACCGAGAACTGGACCTCAGAGGTACGTGAGCGCGCGCCGCCGCCCGCTACCCCCGCGTTAGCCTGTTAGCCTGTTAGCTCGTGAGTCCGCCTGGCCGCAGTTTCGGCACGGAACGACGGGAAGGCGCCTTCGTAGACGGGGACGGCGTCCGGCCTCCGCCTCGCTGTCCTCTTTCCGTTTTGAATCATTTGGTTCAAGATGGCTCAAATGTCAGCGGGTGGGGACGCGTGTTAACTTGGGGGGGGGGGGGGGGGGGATACATCGGAGCGTTCTTTGTTTCCGAGGGCTCCGGCGACGACGCGGCTGCGAAAGTTGAGATTCTTTTAGCACGGCGAACATATCTGGTCGACGTCTTCGTGCAAAGTCGGCAGAGGTGGAGATCTGAGGTGGGGCCTGTTTTTGCCAAATTCGAATTTCAAACCTCCCCGACTGTCTTCATGCTCCCTTTTTCCCAAAAGCGGCGGTATCGTCGGGGAGATTGGACAATGTTCGAAACGTCGTCGTCATTTGAAGACGGGCATACAGTCGAACGAATTGTCAAGCGAAAGCAGCCACGGCGATTCAATCGAATCCTCAACGCGTAATACCGCACGGAAGGAACTCGGGACGATTGTTGCATCTCTGTACCGTGTGCAAAGGCAATTCCGCAAAACTCAGGACGATGTGTTCACGGTGCAAGAATTTGCCAATCGTGTTCGACCTGCATCATTCTTTGCATACACTAAAACACAGGTGTCAAACGCAAGGCCCGGGGGCTAGATCCGGCCCGCCACATCATTTTATGTGGCCCCTCGAAAGAAAATCATGCGTGTCAACTTGCATGATCCTTGCTAAAATGTGCACCGAAATGTCAAATTGTCACGTGTAATAAACAAACGAGATTTTGTAATCCTGTTTACACTCGCTTCAACTACAATTGAACAAACTCTTATAGTTGACTGATTTTTAAAAAAAAAAAAAAAAACTAGTAGTCCAATCATTTGCTGTGTGTAAATAATTATGTGACGAGACGATTAAAAATATTTGCGGTTTCGACGGGCCTTTGAGGGAAGATGTCATTCCGAAGTGGCCCAGAGACAGAAATGAGTTTGACACCCCTGCGCTAAAAGACGAGGCGTTTCTCGTTCAAGCTGAGAAACCTGACTGTTGGTCGCAAACCATCTTGACCTTTGACCTTTGTGGCTGTGACACGTTCCCCGAAAACTTGCTTTTGTGCCTTTTTGGCTCCCAGGCGGCTGGGTGTTTGATGGGCGTTCCCCAGCTTTCGCCGTCTGCGCATTGCCGTTGATGCCATTTTTTTTTTTTTTTTGAGAAACAGGTTATAAAATTCCAGTTCTGGAGAATCTGGGGGCCACTTTGGACCAGTTTGACACAGTGGACTTCTCGGACAACGAAGTTCGCAAACTGGATGGCTTCCCGCTCCTCAGACGCCTCAAGACCTTGCTGATGAACAACAACAGGATCTGGTGAGACACGCCAAGACTTTGCTTGCAGTATGTGTGCAGGAGAGAGGAACATGATTGAAGTCAGCGGAATGCCCAAATTTTGCAACTTTGACAGTCAACGAGCGAGTGCCGCTCGATGACGAGTACTGCGCTTCAAATCTCTTCAATTGTCTGTCATCGCTCTCCTGCGGGGCGCCTTCGTCGCCGCTTTTACGTTGGTCGGCTTTGTGGAAATGGGGGAGAAAGTTAGTGCCGCTGACGCCCAAGTGGCCGGTCGAAAGGGCAAATCCTGCCGCCGCGCAATCGTGGCAACTGACTTGCCTTGGCTTTTGTTGCTGTGCGCAGTCGCATCGGAGAGAACCTGGAGCAGAGTCTTCCCCATCTGCGAGAACTTATCCTGACCAACAACAACATCCAGGAGCTGGTGAGTCACACTCGGCCCAGGGTGAGGAGGGATGTCGCGGAGTCTCCGCCCGCCCCGGCGTGCGCTTTGAGCCGACCGGCGCCTTGACCCGAAAACGCGAGCCTCTGCGAGCACGCGTGAGCAGGGGGGAAAAAAAAAACTTCCGCTTGAGCCCACTTGTGGAAGAGTTTGCCAAGCAACATGAGCCCAGGGCCACTTTGGACCAGTTTGACACAGTGGACTTCTCGGACAACGAAGTTCGCAAACTGGATGGCTTCCCGCTCCTCAGACGCCTCAAGACCTTGCTGATGAACAACAACAGGATCTGGTGAGACACGCCAAGACTTTGCTTGCAGTATGTGTGCAGGAGAGAGGAACATGATTGAAGTCAGCGGAATGCCCAAATTTTGCAACTTTGACAGTCAACGAGCGAGTGCCGCTCGATGACGAGTACTGCGCTTCAAATCTCTTCAATTGTCTGTCATCGCTCTCCTGCGGGGCGCCTTCGTCGCCGCTTTTACGTTGGTCGGCTTTGTGGAAATGGGGGAGAAAGTTAGTGCCGCTGACGCCCAAGTGGCCGGTCGAAAGGGCAAATCCTGCCGCCGCGCAATCGTGGCAACTGACTTGCCTTGGCTTTTGTTGCTGTGCGCAGTCGCATCGGAGAGAACCTGGAGCAGAGTCTTCCCCATCTGCGAGAACTTATCCTGACCAACAACAACATCCAGGAGCTGGTGAGTCACACTCGGCCCAGGGTGAGGAGGGATGTCGCGGAGTCTCCGCCCGCCCCGGCGTGCGCTTTGAGCCGACCGGCGCCTTGACCCGAAAACGCGAGCCTCTGCGAGCACGCGTGAGCAGGGGGGAAAAAAAAAACTTCCGCTTGAGCCCACTTGTGGAAGAGTTTGCCAAGCAACATGAGCCCAAACACCGAGAAAGGAGAAGGCGACGAGAGGTGGAGATCTGAGGTGGGGCCTGTTTTTGCCAAATTCGAATTTCAAACCTCCCCGACTGTCTTCATGCTCCCTTTTTCCCAAAAGCGGCGGTATCGTCGGGGAGATTGGACAATGTTCGAAACGTCGTCGTCATTTGAAGACGGGCACACAGTCGAACGAATTGTCAAGCGAAAGCAGCCACGGCGATTCAATCGAATCCTCAACGCGTAATACCGCACGGAAGGAACTCGGGACGATTGTTGCATCTCTGTACCGTGTGCAAAGGCAATTCCGCAAAACTCAGGACGATGTGTTCACGGTGCAAGAATTTGCCAATCGTGTTCGACCTGCATCATTCTTTGCATACACTAAAACACAGGTGTCAAACGCAAGGCCCGGGGGCTAGATCCGGCCCGCCACATCATTTTATGTGGCCCCTCGAAAGAAAATCATGCGTGTCAACTTGCATGATCCTTGCTAAAATGTGCACCGAAATGTCAAATTGTCACGTGTAATAAACAAACGAGATTTTGTAATCCTGTTTACACTCGCTTCAACTACAATTGAACAAACTCTTATAGTTGACTGATTTTTAAAAAAAAAAAAAAAACTAGTAGTCCAATCATTTGCTGTGTGTAAATAATTATGTGACGAGACGATTAAAAATATTTGCGGTTTCGACGGGCCTTTGAGGGAAGATGTCATTCCGAAGTGGCCCAGAGACAGAAATGAGTTTGACACCCCTGCGCTAAAAGACGAGGCGTTTCTCGTTCAAGCTGAGAAACCTGACTGTTGGTCGCAAACCATCTTGACCTTTGACCTTTGTGGCTGTGACACGTTCCCCGAAAACTTGCTTTTGTGCCTTTTTGGCTCCCAGGCGGCTGGGTGTTTGATGAGCGTTCCTCAGCTTTCGCCGTCTGCGCATTGCCGTTGATGCCATTTTTTTTTTTTTTTTGAGAAACAGGTTATAAAATTCCAGTTCTGGAGAATCTGGGGGCCACTTTGGACCAGTTTGACACAGTGGACTTCTCGGACAACGAAGTTCGCAAACTGGATGGCTTCCCGCTCCTCAGACGCCTCAAGACCTTGCTGATGAACAACAACAGGATCTGGTGAGACACGCCAAGACTTTGCTTGCAGTATGTGTGCAGGAGAGAGGAACATGATTGAAGTCAGCGGAATGCCCAAATTTTGCAACTTTGACAGTCAACGAGCGAGTGCCGCTCGATGACGAGTACTGCGCTTCAAATCTCTTCAATTGTCTGTCATCGCTCTCCTGCGGGGCGCCTTCGTCGCCGCTTTTACGTTGGTCGGCTTTGTGGAAATGGGGGAGAAAGTTAGTGCCGCTGACGCCCAAGTGGCCGGTCGAAAGGGCAAATCCTGCCGCCGCGCAATCGTGGCAACTGACTTGCCTTGGCTTTTGTTGCTGTGCGCAGTCGCATCGGAGAGAACCTGGAGCAGAGTCTTCCCCATCTGCGAGAACTTATCCTGACCAACAACAACATCCAGGAGCTGGTGAGTCACACTCGGCCCAGGGTGAGGAGGGATGTCGCGGAGTCTCCGCCCGCCCCGGCGTGCGCTTTGAGCCGACCGGCGCCTTGACCCGAAAACGCGAGCCTCTGCGAGCACGCGTGAGCAGGGGGGAAAAAAAAAACTTCCGCTTGAGCCCACTTGTGGAAGAGTTTGCCAAGCAACATGAGCCCAAACACCGAGAAAGGAGAAGGCGACGAGTGCTCCTTGAAAGTTCATGCCCCCACCAAAAAAAGAGAATCATTGCAGTCCTAATCAGGAAATGAGTTGTCATCAACTCATGCTTTGTGCATTTATTATTTTTTTTATCTTAAAAATCATCAATTTGCAGCACGAGTCAATACCAAGTTTGTAGTTTGGGAGGCATCGGGCCGGCCGCATTGCGTCATTGACATCGTGAAAGACGGAATATCGGGCGACGTCGACGGGGGGTGTTGAGCCGTGCCCCGAGGTGGCGGAATGCCGATTGCGCCGGTGTGTTTCAGGGCGACTTGGAGCCGCTGGCGTCGGTGAAGACCTTGACTCTGCTCAGGTGAGAAGCGCGATGCCGGCGAAAGCCGCGCGGTCGGCCGCCGGCTGGCGCTGACTCTGTCCTTGCCGCCAGCTTGCTGAGGAACCCCGTGACCAACAAGAAGCACTACAGGCTCTACGTCATCCACAAGGTCCCGCAGATCCGCGTGCTGGACTTCCAGAAGGTGAAGCTCAAGGTGGGTGGCCGCCGGCCTCGCCGCCCGCTTTGCCCGCCCCGTCCGGATGGCGTCGGCGCTCCCGGCGGGAAGTCCTCCTCGCGCTCGGCTTCGCGGGCGTCCCGTCGCCTTTAACCGCGTCTGCTTGTGGTCGCAGGAACGCCAGGAAGCCGAGAAAATGTTCAAAGGCAAACGCGGCGCTCAGCTGGCGAAGGATATCGCCAAGCAGAGCAAAACGTAAGGGCGTCGGTCCCCGGCGGGCACGCTCGGCGTATCTCGTATTTGACTCGAGAACAGATACTACGCCGGATCCGCCGCGGGGGGAAGCCGCCGAGCGAGCGCGCCCGTCTAACTTGGGCTCCGGCTCGCCCGCAGGTTCACGCCCGGATCGGCGTCGCAGCTGGAGAAGAGGAGGACGGGTCCGTCGCACGCTGACGTCGAAGCCATCAAGGTAGGTCGTTTAAGAGATGCGAAGGCGGGCTTGTGGCGTGCTGCCCGCGTCTTGTCCCGGGAGCGAGGGCGACGGTCGTCCGCCGATTGTCCCGAGAGCGAGAGACAGCGGGTGGCTTTTTTGCTTTGTTGTCAGAATGCCATCGCCAAGGCGTCGTCACTGGCCGAGGTGGAGCGCTTGAAAGGAATGCTGCAGGCGGGACACATCCCGGGACGAGACCGCACGCAAGGTCTGCGGCCCGCCGCCGCCGCCCTCGGCCGCTTGCGGGCTCCCGACCGGCGCGCCACATCGCTTTTCTTCTTCTCCTATAGATGGCGCCGGCGTGGAGGAGGAAGAGGAGGAGGACGAAGGCCACGCCTCCCAGATGGACGCTCAGATGGAAGAGGTCGAGGACATGGAACAAGAGCTTCACGTCAACGGCTCCTGAACACACCCCCCCCCCTCCCCCCATCTTGTACATTTTATATGGACGTCAAACCACATTAAAGTTTGTTTTTGACTTTTTACGCCCGTCGTGCTGGGAACCGTCCTTTTCTTCCCGATGCTGGAATCGTGCCTTCAAATGCAGAGCCCGGTGGAGACGACCCCAAACATGAAGACTCGTGCTCAAAAAGAGGACGGGATTCAACAAATCCCCACCACCCGTCATGACTTGGAATGGAAGAAGACGCATATTTGGAGGGTGCGCGCCAACCTACGACAACCCCCCCCCCCAAAATTTCTAGTGTGCTTTGGGACAATCTCTGATCGGGATCAAATAGGTCATCCAATAAAAAATGAAAGGGAAAAACTAAAAAAAAAAAAATTGGCGTCACAAGGTGGCAACAAACGACAAGGAGGCACTTTGAGCTTCGATTTGATTTATACAACAGCAGAGAAACCGAAAAGCGCAAGACCCCGGCCGGTTCCGGTCGGTCTTTCTTAGCAATCGCTTCCAGTTGGACGGGGAAAGGAGTGCCGATTGGCTGCTTTGCGTGCGCGGGATCGCCAATGG